CGTAATCTTGTCAGAATGAGAAATTGTTAACATGACCTTGAGCTGGAGAAACCGATCGTGTCAGTCACCCTAATTGCGCAAATCGACTCTTCGCATCAGATTAGATCGTCATACATGTATTCGTAGCCAGTATTCTTCTGGAGAATAGCGAGACTTCCCCGGGAGACTTCTTGCGAGGAGCAAGTCAAACGCGTGAATCAGTGAAGTCCGGCTCGGGAAGCTAAGCTGACCGCATCAGGCCAAGAAAACTCCTGGGCTATTTCGGCGGCTCCCGAGGTCCGGGTTCACATCCGAAGACGTAAATGGAACAGAGGAGAGTCGTGCTCATCGGTCGGGAAAGATTCGAGAAGTCTGTGAATCGGGCGCTTGAAGAGAGCGGAAGAGATCCATCTGCGTGGGATCGTCGCTCCATCAATCCAGAAGGGAGTGAATACGAGGTCCTGCAATCATGAATCATGAAGAATGATCGAGGATGCTGGGAAGGCAAGAAGAGCGACAAGCGAAATCGACCGGCATTCGGGGTGGTCTCGACGAGTGCCATATTATTCCGATGAGGCTCTGTCTCCCCGATCAGGGACCAGGACATAGTACCACTTCTATGAACAACAGACACAAGCCTGCTGGTGGACGAGTGACGTCGGATACAGAGAAAGCTTCTTTGGAGCCGACGGGTAGACTTCGCGAGCGAGAAATGCTTCACTTTGAAATTCCGATTTTCCAGTAAGTCACCACTCATCCATCTCAGAGGCGTCTGACGCGTCAAGGTATCCTCGCAAGATTCGTCAAAAGCAGGCTGAAAAAACTTGCCGGAGTCCGAATATTTATCTTCTAAGAAGCATTGGAAGGAGGTCAGGAGGGTTCAGCCGACCGAATGAGACTATCAGACATGGTGAAGCTCCACCCGATTCTTTCTTAACTATTCAGTGCTCCCCGACGTTGGACAGATCCGCGGACGGGAGCTCTTGACATTCCAAGCTCTCACCAGTCGAGTTACTCGGAGCGATGAACTCATTCAATTTTAACCAGATTGTCGTTTTTTTCGTCATCCTCGTCTGCGTACAAGCTCCGCGTGCACCTCCACAGAGAGGACAGAGAAAGATCAGGAAGATTAACTGGGATGATCCATATTATGCCACTCAGTTCGAGCAGTGTAAGAAACTGAGAATTTTCACCACGGTGGACACGTTCAAGGCGCAAGCTTATGCTGCCACGCTCTTCCGTAAGTGTGGACCCGAGAAGATACTGCGGCTGGCAAATAAGTACAACTTCCCTACATTTGGTAAGCAACGCAATTCGGAGTCGTGCCGATTTCCCGAAAGACATCGGCATCCTTCATGGGAGTCGGGGCATACTGAGATCCACATCGCGCGAATGCTCCAAAGACACCATGTACATTCTCTTGTGTCATTCACCGGCTCTCAAATTTAAGGTATCGCAGAACTCGCGAAGATCGCCTGCGTGACCATAGACCTCATTTTCGCTTACATCGCCTCAGATGGCGGCGTTACTCTTCCCGAGACAACTTCCTCAGAGGCTGTCAGCAGCCTGGTCCGGAAGATCATGGTGGCCCTGAAGAAGTCGAATCAAACATTCCTCCTCAAGAATCGCGGCAGGACCTACTTGCTGCCCATGGACATGCTATTGGACTCAGCGGATGACGTACTTCCCTGTATTTTCGGCACAGAGACGATCGCTCAGCGCGACGGCGACTACCTCAAGCATTTGATCGGTTATTCCAAAATCATACTCCTTTGAAGTCTGGGATTGACTTAATTCTTCGTGTAATCCTGGGAGCCATGACTCGGGACTCAGGCTGAGCGCTAGAGATTTCATGCGAATAAACACCACCCTCGAATTATACGGTATGTATGGGCGTGTTGTTGCGAAAATGCTTAGGAATTCATATGGGGATCATCAGCTGCGGACTTAATCGAACGAAAGTTTTTGGAGATTGAGTTTCGTCAACACTAGACTGTGCAACCGCGGTTATAACCCGCAAGTTTTTTTTTCCTTCAACATGGGACTCTATGGGGGACACCGAATGACCGCGGTCAATAACCGCGGTGTTTCATGAAATATGCGGCTTGCTGCAAAGCCTCGTGACTACCCAGAGAACGAGAGAGCTGCGTGATTGTCCTCTATCTCACTTAGAGGAACAGAACACAGCACTGGGCCTTCCAACGCGGAGCCTCACGAATCATCATATCTTGATCCTGGTCCGCGGATTCCCGAGGGACTTTGAACGAACAGATGATCATGAATCGAGAACTGAATACTATGGGTGCCTTTAGGGTCACCGTAATTGACTTTCGCGTTGAACGTCACAATTGTCAGACGCACTCTCTCATTGTCAGTCATCGGTGGAAAGGATGGAAGGGGCGGTTCCTATAAACAAACGCTGAGTCACTTCCATTCGAATCCTGACCTCAGTCGACCGATTATCGCAGAGGGATTCCAGGGGGAATCGGAGGAAGCTATGACCCATTCTACAATACTCCCGGTCCTCTGCGCCAATCGCCAACTCTTTCACATCAGAGAATCAATATCCTCCGGGAGTCGAAGTCTCGATCCGCGACGGTGACGGTAATTTATTCGATCCCCATAAGCTATGTTAGACTTAAAAGAAGTGAAAGAGCCGGTGAAATGTTTGGAGACTCGTCGTCTCCTAGAGAGCGATGAGGTCGAAACTCCCGATTCAATCTTCCCCGATTTTTCGAGTGTCTCGTCAACCGGAGGAGAGACAAAAACGATTTTAGGGACCCGTGAGCTACAAGAAATTGCTCCCAAATCATGACACCCATCGAGACTCTTTTTTCCTCTTCGTCTCAAATCTATCCTTACGTTAATAAAGTGTTCAATATCTTCGTATGCTCCACATCGTAGGAATCTGCTCCTCGCATCCAATTGTAAAGGTTCCCTGACTCTCCGTGACGTGGCGAAATTTTCGGAGGCTAACGCTTTTTCGCAAGATTCCTCTCTGCGCTGCATCGCATTCAAAACCCGTTTTTCATAAACCCCTTCCGCTTATCGTGATGTGATTTAGCACTGTCGAGCCTCGCCTCGCAGAACCCTATTGAACTTCCCGAACTGAGCTTGTCCTTCAATGTTCACACTGATATAGCGATTCTTCCCCTGGTAATCTAGACTGCTTCCTGGGAAGGATCATCCGCCCGTATGCAATCGTTGTGATTCGGCTCGCTTGATCTTGCCCGAGATGCTTTCCACGCATCTCGCTCCCCTTTAGGTCGATTCTGCTCCGCAAACGCAGCTCTCCTCCTACAAGGCGAGGCCGCAAGATGTATCAACATGGTGGCAGCTGATGGCACAGCCGCCTCGATCTGGGCAGGTTTCTCTGTTTTCGCGGCCGCTCCGCAGAAGGAAGTGGGAATTCCCAGAGAGTCTCCTGAATGCTCCGATGCTGGACCTCAGTCTGAGCGGAAGAAGCTGCCCAAGTTGAGGCTCCGCATCTACTGAGGATCATTGTTTCCAGTCCAGGAATTCGTAGTCCAGGATTTCGAAGCGACGTTCGATCAGGAGGATCATTGGCGAGCCTCATAGCTCCATTAAATTCTCAAAGTTCTCTGCTGAAGATACAACTTTTAGACCCGCAATTCCTGTGGTAGGCGTCAAGCTGCCAAGTGAATCGGGGCGAGGAGGCGTGAGCTAAGCTTGTCAGCAACCTTGCTCACCCATTTCCTTCGGTGGTCATGAACGAGACTACCCAGCAAGCTCGGTAAACTTGGGATCACTCGGCGGGAATGTTCGCTCCGTTGGCATTGCTGCTCTTACCGCGAGCCGTCGAGCCGGGAGAGATTGATTGCGCCTCAGAAACAAAGTCCAAAACCAGCCGAATCCCAAAGATCGAGTCATATCTCTGCGACATGCGAAAGCCTTGCCGATCTACGGGAGGCGATCTCTCACAATCTCACAATCAGAGTCGATGCATGCTCTTCCCAGCGGAAATTCGTGTCCATCGGTCAGATGAGATGGTTGCTTGCTGATTATATACTATCCTTGAAGGAATGGAGGATCTCTAAGAATGAAAACGTGATCATTGACTTTCTCTCATATATATTTCCGTCATTACTCGATCTCCCGTATCACAACAGTTATAGAAATACCTCGCTTCCCGCAGAACATGCGCGAAACGGGTTCTTCTCGCACAGGTTTTCCATTTTTTCTCAACGCTCTTAGCCCATCAGGCTCATGCCTGACGAAGCACGATTCGTTTTAACGCACGCTGAGTAAAAAACACGATCGAATAAATTAATTCATATAAATATATGGAACGGATGGCTCGATGGAAGATGAATGACAATATTCGTGTTCACGCCCATGTGGATGAAAAAGTAAAATTATTTAACTGATGGTCCATCCTATAAATGTGCCTGCTTGCCTACTTCTGCGCCAACGGGAAATCGGACAACGTTCCCCGTCAAGCGACTCGTACAGATTGAATTTTCCGGTGAGGAAGCTAGCCACGAGCCAACGCCGATCGTATTGATTTTCGGGGCGAAAACCGATCGAACACAAACCGGGCAGGGCACGACTGCACACGAATGAAACGGTCGCTCAAAAAATCACTTGCGAGACGAGGACATCAAAATCGATTGTACCTCGATGAGGGGTCGTATTCGGCCGGAAAAATGCTTTCGGAAATCCCGTCTCATGTTGAATAAGTACAGATCCTGAAGTTCGGGTGGGGAAACATTCTCACTACAGTCAACGGGAATTTCTTTTGGACGATCGATCGAAGAAAAGCATCGATGGTGCGTGCGGCGAATACCTAACAGGGTGCCAGCAACGTCCCTTTTCCTATTGCTGAAAACATGTCTGAACTATATTTTTGTATAAAGCGTCTTTTCTTCCGGGTCCTAACCCTGGCACTATGTGGGGGCGTAACTTTCCAGCAGGTTGATTCTAAGTCGCTTCCTCATCATACGGTGCTCCGGTGCTCAAAGAGACGGCATATTCTCCCCTCGTTTTCTTCCACTCATTCATCAACCGTGTTAGAGACTCGAGTCAGATTACCAAAATGGAAGGCTTCATGAATTTCGATCCCTCAAGCGACTTAGAAACCTGCTCAGAAATCCCCCGACGGTCTCGGTTGGCGTTGATTGTTGAAGAACGGTAGAGATGCGTGATGGGGGCTCCCTCTAGGCGTGCTCCGAGCCACTCGGGGTGACGCTGTCGCCGAACCTGACCTGGAAAACCGCGTAAGGATTGGGAATCTTGGTTCGGCGATTATCCGCTCCTCTGAGGATTTCGAAATTCAAATCACGGTGGGGTCTACCACCGAAAAATTAGATTGTCGAGAGGGTATCTCGGCTCCGAATATATTTCACGCACCTTCGAAGATGAGACCGCTCGCGGTCCATCTCGAACTCCTCCAATCTCTGTGTGAGCGCCAATTTCTGTTGGATGGCCAATCTCAGAAGCGAGTTCAGGGTCTTCTTCTCCTCTTCGGCCGCTCTCAGTTGCCTCTGGAGTTCATCCAGCTGGGCTACGTACTCTTCGCAGCGGGCCGCGAACATCGCTCTCAACGATGCGAAAGTCGCCGCGTCTTCCTTCAAACTCTTGAGTTCGTGCCGCAACTTCTGCATCGTTTCGGAAACGATTGACTTTTCCGTTTCGTACTTGGACTTCAGGTTGGCTAGAGCGATTTCGGCAGTCTGCTTGTTGGCCTTGAGCACTGCGCGGAGAGTGGCGATCTGCTCGCGTTTCGTGGACACCAGCGACTTGAGCTTTATGATTTGCTCCTGAGGATCGCCCTCCTCCAGGGAAGTCGCCCCAGAGTTCCCAGATCCAGATCCTGCAAGCTTGTGTGGGTTTCCAACGGCCGTCTCGACGGCTTCTTTGAGGAATTTCACCTGATCTCGTAGAGTTTCAACTTGCAGTTTCACAGCGTGGGGATCAACTTTCTTGAACGAGAGCTGTCGGAAACTTTCGGTACGGAAATTATCGGAAAGCACCTCGACCCGACTCTTCGAGTTCTCTTTCTGCTCGCCTTTGGCGTGATCGAGCACGACACGATTCGGTGTCTGTCCGTTCAGAGCGCAGACGTGATGGTACAATTGCGCAATATCGTCCTGTACGCACGCGATGTCCTCGAGCGCCGACGTCGTGCTGCCGTGGAAAGAGTCCCCGATATTTTCTAGAATTTTCAAATCATCGCCAAAATCGGAGATTTGCTGCTCGTAGGTTGAGATCTTGTTCATGAAGTTTGCGACTTGGTTCTTGAGGAGCACGTTCTCACTGATGTCCTGCCCGTCTACTCCGTCCATACTCGTCAGGTCTTCCTGGACCCGTTTCAATGTGGACAGGAGTCCTGCCGCGGTCTCCGTCTTAGAGTTGGCCTCCTGGGGGGAAGAATCGAGGACTGGCTTGGGATCCAATTGTATCGCGATGGTTTATTATTCCTCAGGGCTAGGATTCTCCCCGGATAACTTCTGTTTTCCATCGCGAGAATACACCGATCGAAACTTACGTTTTCGGCCTGCATGACAATAGCGTCGATGCGCTGTCCGAGCAAAAGCAATTTCTTCTTCCTATCCTCGAGCTCGGTACGACACTGCTCACACTCGAGTTTAGAGCTCTCGAGCGTTTTGATGAGTGAGTCTTTCTCGAGCTCCATTTCTTCCAGCTGTTTTTCGAGTTTCAACGTCTCGGTCAGATGAAGCTCACTGAAAAGATCACCGACCGTCGACGGTCGAATTTTGTCGTCGGCCGTTCCCTCGCCCAGCTCGAGACGGAGTCCAGCGATGTTACCCGAATGTGCGGCGGTTTGGTCTCTCTGGTCCAACTCTTTTTTCAAGATATATTTTTGTTCACGTTCGCGCTGTAGAATATCCAGGGTTTCTTCTAATTGTTTCGTGACGAGATCTACGGAGAAAAGAATGATTATTGAGCCGAATTCCAAAGTTCCAGAAATCGGAACCTTCGGTCAGATCCAGGAGTTTCGGCCCCCTCCACATAACTTGGCCGACATGGGAATTGCAGAGGAGCAACACAACTTGCCTTTGAGGCCAAACATCTCTTCTGCTTGACCTTTGGCTGCCTCGACTTCTTCGGCGAGCCGTCTTGCTTCGTGCTTGACCGCCTCGAAATCGACTTGACTCTGCTTGAGTTTGGACACCTGCTTCTGAAGACCGATGTTCTCCTCTTCGAGCTCATTGTTGTCGCAGAGGAGTCGTTGTTCGCGCAATTTAACATCCTTGAGCTCACTGCGTAGGTTCTTACGCTCCCAATCGCTTTTATTATAGGACTCTTTGAGTTCGACCGCATCGGCGATCATCTGGTCTCTCTCTGCGGTGACCCTACCCAACTCCTGTCTGACTGACTTGAGCTCCTTCTCCAACTCCTGGAGACTCGAAGTCAGTGAGGCCTCCTTTTGGGCAGACTCCTGCAGGAGAGAATCCTCTTGCTCGATGCCGGTTGTTGTTGATAGCTTCTGAGATGTCTCAACCTTTTTGAGAGCCTGAAAAAGAGGGATCCGAATCTATCACTGACATCATGGATCTTAGGCTGACTCGGGGATGCGGTGCGGTACGGCGCGTGTCCCGCCAGGCCTTCATTTGCGATGAAGGGAGCTATGTCTGGATTACGCGTTCTCAAGTTTTGGGTTGACCTTCCTTGTTCTGGCTCAGGGGCTCTGATCGGACATTGCGCAAATTCCGATGTTGAGGAGATTATCTACTTGGATTATATAATTCTCTCACGGAGAGCACCGATCCCCATGAAACATGGTGCGGCAACTGGCCGCGGCGAAACGCCCGCAATATGCGAAGTCCACAAGGGCATGATCACTGATATCAGTCTCCTGAGTTCGAACCTCAAGGCGGAGGCCGACCCCTCGGAATCGATGAAAAGTTTCGTTCTGATCGATACTCAGAAGTCCAGAGCATCTCCATATTCTCAGCAGTCTTCTCTGTGTCCTCTTCTCTGTTTAGATATCCATAGGCCGTGCGAGAATCGTCGACGAAATCTTCAACAATGAGATGAGCATTTGAGATTCACTCGCTATGATTCATTTCTGTGGAAAATCTCGGGATCGATTCTCGTTCTGATTCATTGTTGTGGTATTGCTCAGGACTTCCAAGACGATATGGAGCGTGTTATGAGCATCAGTTGGAACATAAACAACATACATGTAGATGTTTTTATTGTTTCACCGAGCGGAGACACTTCCAAATCTACGTGGACCTTGCCAACGACATAATTCCCCGAGCCAAGTTAGTCTCCATCCGCACCAGTGGTTGCCGAAGTCCTTCGAGCCGTTGACCCCCCTACGTATTTTCGGCGTATAAACCCTGTGTACTCCGTCCCGTCGCATCCTATCGGCACTCAAAAGTGCCAGGACCCCCGAGGCTGCATATGGCCCACTTCGGGAACCACTGATCTCAAGGCTCAGGTGCAGTGCTGGTATTGGAGAACAGAGCCATGGAATTAGAGATTGATCTACTGAAAACATCTCCGCAGATTCTTCGAAGCGGAATCAGAGGAGATATGGGTCAACCCCAAAGTCCTCGGAAGATATGGAGCTCAGCGATCTGGTACGGAAGGACGGATTAGGCAGATTGCTCGGAGCCGGAATGTTCTCCGAGGTTCCGAACCGGATATCCCTCCTCCTCTCGGGTGTATATCAGTGGTTTGCCCCCCAGGTACATAGATAGTTTAGGCCAGATGTAGCGCCGCTTTGTCTTGGATTGCGAGCGGGAATCGGAAGAGGACTAGCCCTCGCAGACGGAAGGAATCCGAGCGGAACTTGGCCTCAGGGAGTTCCAGTGATGAAAGAGACCCAATATAAATTCTGCTGACCCTCTTGATTGACTACTATCATACAGATTGATATTTTGATCGACTCCGACCGGCCAGTGTTCACAGTGGGATACTTGAACTTCTGGAGTGAAACTCCCACTAAGTTGCCAGTCGCCATTGATTTAGAATAATGTCATGGGGCGAGTCCCGCCGAATCGTCCGGATGCCCAAATTCTTTCTCGTCATCCGCAATAAGATGGACTTGGAAGCATGGAAACAGCTCATAATAGTCACGAGCACTTGAACTTCAGAAGCGACAGAAGCGGTGGTAGCAATGGTCATTAGCTCCGTCCAAGTTCCACGGTGCTGATTCGCCGACTCGCCGACAGGGTCCCTGACGGCTCTTCATCAGAACTATAAAATGACACGTGGGGTCGCGGCGGATCCTTCATTTTCTGTTTCGCCGGATGGCAATCGAATGGATCCGCTCAGACTAGGTTCATGTCATGTCAGGTGAGTGAGACTCGACCCATCCCCCTCAAACAAGAGAAGAAACATGGGGACAACATGTAAATTATGGGGGACGTCTTGGCTTTCCGAGAACAGATGAGCAGCTGAGTCGATTCCGCAATAGACAACCGACAGAAGTAAGAGAGTTCAGAAGGGAGGGATTGGCTGCTCGCATGTGGTCTCCTCCCACCAATACTCGATTCGAATAACTCCTAGATTCCGTAGAATAAGAAGCGAAATTGAATTGTCAGGGATGGTCAGCCTCGGGGCGGCTCGTCGAAAGAGGCAGAAGGGCGATCCCAATGCGGACATCCCTCGGTATATTCAGTTCTACCATTCTCTGGATTCCAAAATGATCTCATAGCGAAAGCCACCACCAGAGATCTTCGCAATCCGGGATCATTATACCGAGCGTTTTCGCAAATTCAGCGAAGCTAAAGGCATTTTCCGTAGAATCTGTCTATCAAACGGAAGTTTATGTCGAACATCCGTCAGAGAGAGGGCTCCTCTGATCGATTCATTCTGATTCATCGTAAAATCCAAGATAAGCTCATGTTTCTGACAAAAAGTTCAGCCGGCTCTCCGCCGCTGTCTTGACATATCGAATCTATGATTCGCCACGATCTGCTTCTGCGAGGCGGGTGTGACACTGACAGGCCTCGGTATCAGCCTATGATTAAACTCTGAGCCTTCGCATTTGACCCGGCGACGGGAGTCATTGTCTCTCTGCCCGACAAGCTCTTCTGTTTCGCTTCGCACGGTTCTAGTGACTGTGGTGGACTCACATAAAGAGCACAAGACCCTCCACGGAGTGAACAGGTACCACACCCGACTCGGTCAGACAACTCACCTCTTTCAGAATTTCAAGTTCACTCTTTGAAGTGTCGTAATGTTTTTCCAACTCGTCGCAACGTCGGGTGAGAGCTGCTTTCTCGTTGAGGAGCACCAGACCGTACTTCGCACTCTGCACTTTTTCGTGATTCGCTTCATCTAGCTCACGGATGAGGCGGTCGACCTCCTGCCGGAGGAGCTCTACCTCTTCCATTCTGTGTCTCCTAGAGGGAGTCGTTCACCGCTTCGAGTGCTCGGTCAGCTCTCTCCATCACATGACAGACGACAACTCCGAGGTTGCCCGAGATCCAGAATTGAGCGAGTCGGGCTCCGATGTGGAGCACCGCTTTTTGTACAACAATTACACTTGCCAACTGAGGAGCTTCTTCTCTCCCCACGGCTCTCAACTGGTCCAAACAGAATGAACGCATTGCTGTCCGATCCGTGACGGGAGGCGTTCGAATTGCCGTTCCACCGACATAAATGCAAGGCTCGACTCTCCCCCCGCCAGTTAGGTTGATGTGGTGAGGAGTTCCCCTCATCCCGCCAAGACTGAGACTCCGGGTTGGCGTACTCAGTCTGTATTCAACACGGCGACCGCCATCGCATCATCTTGAGGTAAGTCCGAATGTCTGAATCACGAATGTGCGATACGCCGATCTGGGGCGATCTGAGACAGATTCTTCGTCGGGGGAGTCACTCCCGAAGTTTCGCCGACATCAGTCGTCACAAATCTCGATCCACGAGTCTCCTGAGGCTCTCGATTTCTCAACGAGAATTTCGAACACCGGCCGCGATCAGCTGTTGTCCTTGTTGTCAATTCGGAAACGAGACGGACCTTCCTCTGACCGGGGTCCTGCCGGATCGGTTAAAATCACGCTGAGCTTCACCGTGAAAGTAATCGGAGACCCTTCTATATCTCGTCGAGTATCGACGGGGAATTCGGTCTACTGAATAAGAAGGCGCTCGCACGTGGATCCAGTGAGCGAGGCTTCTATGCGGAGACTGGCTGCACGTCATCGCCAGAGAGAGATGGACTCCGGATTCCGGTAACAGATTTTCAGAGGGACGACTTTATTCGGAAAGTGCGTCTTCATAGGCGAATCGACGGAAAGTTTTCCTGCCGGCAAAAGATCGCGAGATCAGTCTACTCTGCGTCGATAGTGGCAGCTCATTGTGTCTTTGTTCGCGCTTTCGAATTCCGGCAGGATTCAATTTCTCAGGATTCCACCAGGTCGAAAATCTGCATCATCGACCTTCATTATAGTTGAATTCTAACGATTTGAGCCTTCAGACCTATGCGGAGAGTGTTCTGCGAATATGAAAGCCCGACGTGAGGTTGAAGATTCGTCTGATCCGGAGCGGCGAAAATCCGCATGAGCTGGGCAAATGACCATTCTACATTGTTCCACAGGTCGAGATATGACTCGCGAGTTGCGAGGATAACATCATGAAGGTCACGTTCATACACCTGGATCTCGGAATCGGAGGAGCCGAAAGGCTCGTCGTCGACAGTGGGATCGCCCTACAAAATGCGGGTCACTCAGTAGAGTTCATCACTTCTCATCACGATAGATCTCATTGTTTCCCGGAAACTAAATCCCAGTTGCCCGTAACGGTACGCAGGTGCAATGTCTGCGCATTCTCTCTGACGACATTTCTGTCAAAAGCATTCATTTGTTCTGAGCGAAAATCATTGATGAAAAACCGATGAAAACTCCCAGGTGGTTGGCGATTGGCTGCCGAGATCGATATTTGGGAAATTCTACGTGCTTTGCTCAATTCTGCGCATGTTGTTCATATCGTTGTACCTGGTCATCGTCAGAAGAGGGTCGAAGAGACCAGACGTGATTTTTCTAGATCAAGTGAGTGTACGGGAGGAGCTGATTCATGTCCCCGAAGTTTTTTCCGAGAATCTAAACGTCCTCCCGTTTCGATATGGTTGGCTCTATAAATCATTAGATATTCCAAGTTTTTATCATGATCATACAATATACATATATGAGGAGAGGCATGCCATGTTTCATGACTCATGACCTCGAGCATCAGACCTGCGGAGGAAATCTGAGCTCATCTTTTGACAGGTTTCTCAATGCATGCCCATACTACGGTGGCTTGGAGTTCCTGTATTATTTTACTGCCATCATCCCGATTGTCTATTGGTGCAGCGTCGGAGTGCATTGAGAGATGCTTATCGGTGAGTTCGCGACTTCATGGAAACGCTGCTCCGACAACAATCAGGAGTGTTCCGAAAGCATTCACCGGCGACCGCTTTCTCAATTTCTCTTCGCAGGAAACCTATCGATTGGTTGGAGGAATACACGACGTCGCTTGCAGACATCATCGTAGTGAATTCTCGATATACTGAGAGAGTCTTCCGCACAACTTTCCGAGGCTTGGCGCACATTCCCCTCGAAGTCATATATCCCACAGTGAACTTTTCTTTATTTGATTCCCCGTTGGAAGAAAACTGTTTGGAGCAATATCCCGAGCTGAGAAACCCGGAGCTCACGAAGTTCCTGTCCATAAACCGCTACGAGCGGAAGAAGAAAATTCATTTGGCTCTGGAAGCTCTGAGTGAGTTCCGTCGTCGATCTGAAGATATCAGGCCACTTCGTTTGGCTCGGACCCTCATCGTCGTGGCTTGTGTGTCCTAATGCCGCCTGCTGTAATTTCTCAGAAATCGCTCTGGACAGTGGAAGAAGAGGTCTCCACCTGGTTATCGCTGGCGGCTTCGACTCCGGAAACAAGGAAAACATTGAGCACTACAACGAGCTCGTGGGGCTCGCCACGAAGCTGGATATTGGAAATCACGTGACGTTCCTCAAATCTCCGTCCGATAAGGAGAAGCAGCTCCTGATGCATCTTTGCTCAGCGGTCGTCTACACGCCGGAGAACGAACATTTCGGCATCGTCCCAATCGAAGCGATGTATTCAAAGAGACCGGTGATTGCCACCAACACGGGTGGACCTCTGGAAACGGTGAGACAAATCGCCTCGAGTCAGCTGAAATGCAGTTCAAGGCTCATCGGTGATGAGAAAAACGGTTCGGTAGAGCTCATGCGAGGGAGAGCTCCTCATGTAACTTTCCTTGAATCAACTCCCTCTCAGATCGAACACAACTCGACGGGCTTCCTTTGCGAGCCCACTGGAGAAGCGTTCGGCAGAGCGATGCTAGAAATCGCAACGAGCCCGAGACGCACCGTGGAGGAAATGGGTAGCGCCGGAAGGAAACGAGTTGTCACGCTCTTCTCATTCGAGGCATTCCAACGAGGATTATGCGAACTTCTTGAGAAGCTGGTCCCGGAAAGACGTGGACGGGAGCGGGAGTGACCAAACAAGGGATTATAATGGGACCCTGGAAAAAAAGAGCTGTGAAATAAAGTGACGCGGGAAGTGTTTTGACGTGAAAACGTCTTTGATTTCACTCAGGGGGTAGAATCAAAGTACTTCGTCCTCCGTGCAACGAAATTCGAGGCACTTTGCGACCCGATAACTCGGGTCTTTCAGAACGCATCCGATTGTTGAATGCACCGATAGGAAGGGAATTCACGGAGGTATCTGCCATTCAATTTTCGTGGTTATGCCTGACGGTTTTGAAGGTTTCCGGGAGCGATTCTGGATGCACCAGGAATACTCCCGTACAGTGTATAAATACAGGATTTCCTCTGGAAGTATTGATTTTTTGCGGTATATTTGAGAAGAGTAGCGAAGATTCTGCTGGGCTCGACCGGCGGAATACAACTCAATGGGCAGGACCGGTCGATCAAGGGGACAATTCCCTGAGATTGATGGAGATCAGATCAAAGTCGCGATGCACGGTATTCGAGATTATTTCGATCTCGAATTCCTACCGAGTCGCACGACTCAACAGTGAAGGGAGCTCCCTCAAGGAACAATCTTAATCGCTCCCTTCCGAATGTACGGACAACGTGAGCGGTTCACGAACATTTCGTGATCGCGAACGACGATGCTCTCGGCGAGGAGCTTTTCATTGAGTCGCTTCGACCCCGATACCAGATCCTCCGCGTTCTGTCGAGACCTTCGGCATAAAACTTCAACGAAGCCCCCGGTCGGTAGGAGAAGGGAGCAATTCGCGGAAATACTGAATCCCACGGAGGAAATACATACATCACACATGAGGCATGCTTCCAGCGATTACTCGTCTGATCACGGAGGTCAGGAGGACTCTTAAGCGAGAGGATCGAACACGGCTATATAAATTCAACTGAACACCAACTACATGTATCAAAAGCATTCGCGGGATTCGAGGTCATACTATTACTAATTGACGAATTTTAATGTCAGTAGAATGACATCGATCACTAAGAGGGGAGTGCTGAACATGCAAGACGCCGATCGGGCTAAAACTTTGGTCATAAAATCCCGCCCCGAGAGAAGTTCAACCCCAAGAGAAGTCCATAGTCTTTCCCAGTTCTCTCATATATCCAATGCTTTAGGGCGAATTCTCGATAATCATTTAAACACCTTCAAGGTGGCCATACGCGGATAACCTCTTAGGGTTGAACTTCTCTCGGGGCGGGGATTCCATGACCAAAGTTCCAGCCCGATCGACGTGTTACGTGTTCACCACTCCCCTTCTTAGATAAAATCAAGAGTCAAGGTACACGCAATTCAAGGGAAGGCTAAAGGTATGTACTCGATGTCATTCACAGCAGCTGTAGAAAGAACTAAGATTTCGAGGTTGCATGAGGAATAGACGTTTTCACGCAATATTATGGTAGTGGCGTCCACACTTTCTGCGCGATTTTTTTTTCCAATTCCAAGAATACGACTATTGCCCCCGATTCTCCCATCAGTCTTCGCTGAGAAAATTGCGATTCTCACTCAGAGTTAGATTATCCGCCGGTGGATATTGCCTTTCGGTCTAAACAGAAGAGTACTGATCGAAATTAACAGGTTCGGAGTTTGTGTCAGAGTTATACGTTATACCCTTGGCTGTGTGAAGATTTTCAGGTGATCGGGGCGATTACGACATTGACCGAGTTTCAGCGCAGTCAGATTTTGTTTTCCTTCCTATGCATTAGCATCACGACAAGGAGCTAGCGGGAGCTCATGGTTCCTACTCTGGGGAGGAAGGGGGGCGCCAGGTCTCTCGCCGTACGTAAAAAGCGGGAGAAGTCACTGTAGCGTAGGTAGCCGAATGTCTCATTGCGGAAACCATCCCGGGCGCATCGACTGTTATGACTGCCAGAGGGATGTGCATCAGTGGGTCTTTCCCCTCCTGGCTCCCTCGCCTGGCCTCCACACCGCAAGAGCTCATCTCTTAATTTCGCTCAAGTCGCGGAGGAACGACCGCCATGAGTGTCGGAAGTTGGTCAGTCCTCTCAGGTGATCCGATCGGAAGAGGAAACACCAAATTCGGTGCTCCTCCGATCTCTAATCAATGGCTCACTCCCGTGAGCTGTCGGACATGATCTCCAGGTCACTCCTTCATCGACGCACGATTACGGCTAACTGTCCGGCGAAACGCTCGGGACTTGAAGAATTCGTCCATGCAAAACCTTGGTCGAGGTCGGACACTTGAGTCAGCGGGACCGGAGTTCACTTTATTGTCAAGATAGTCTCTTTCGCAACTAGACATTGGACACGAGAGAGGCAGAATTCGGAAGATATGAGCACCGTGTCTTCCCTCCTCCAGTACATCCGTTAATCTTTCAAGATGAAGCCACACAAAGAAGGTTGCTCGTATTCCTTTGGAGACCACCGCATCGGTTGAGCTCGGAAAGGGAACGAGCCCCGTCAAGTCCGCCTTTCTCGGCAGCGATCAGCCACGGTGATTTTTTCTCGAGAATTCTCGAAGCCAACCGGATACGTCGAGTCTAGAAATGATCCGCGGCAGATTGGGGCTAGAGCTCAAGCCTCGGGAGGTTCGAGGAAAACGAGCCCAGATCGGTAATTTCCCTCGGATACTCGTATCTTGATTTTCCTGAGTGGCTTCATCTCCTCGTCTACGGGCGATATATTGGCTGCTTCCAAAGGCTGTGGTCGCCCCGAATATGAAGCTCTATTCGCGCTAGCGTTTTCATTTTCGAACGTTCCCATCCATTCGAGAGGCTCTTACTCAAAACAAATACGTCGGCTCTCGAGTTCGGTTCTCCCGATGTTTCATATTTTCACCGACTAGATCTCGAGTTGCGGACGGAATTAATCATATTCATTCACAATATTGCGGGATACGTATCATCACACATCCGGGGATGGAGATTCCCGTGCTTCGCGGAGTTCCTCATGAGATTGAATCGACTTCAAACACTTGTGAATCACGAAGCCAAAGAGCACTGCGAGCATCGCACCGGAGAATGTCTGAAAAAGTCCCTTCATCTCCCGGAACTCCAGCGGTTTAGTACTGCGTCCGTGGTCGAGCATGTCATATACTTTGTATCTACGTGCGAGGTCATCTTTAACTGCGATGATCTTCGATTTTATGATCAATGCTCCCGCGTACTCTAGCGTTAGGAGTTTAGACCCGTCGCTCAATCTATCAGCGAACCTGAGCTCGCCTTCCCAGAACTGTTCCTCGAGCTCATCCTGTCGACTCAGAGAATTCCTCAGGTGATGAAACTTCAACAAATCATGCCGCGGGATCCTCTGCGTAATATCGAGATGTTTATCATAGTCGACGTGAGCGCCGAGACTCTCGTGACTAGAGCACAATGTTTGGCTCGCTTTCGAGTCAGCGATGAACTCGAAGGCGAGTTCTCGATCCCACTTGCCGATAATCATCCTGACGAGTTCTGGGTCGTTGCAGAGCGTGTGGTACTGAACCAGGAAGCCTAGCATCGTCCAATTCTTCATGCCAGACATCGACAAGGACATCGGAGAACATCCTTTGTTCAAGTTCTGGGGGTGGACTGAGAATTGCAGATCAGAATTCTTTTCCAAGTTCCATATGTTCGGACTTGAAGGGTGTTTTCTGAGGAACCACGTATCCCGCTCC